TTCCTCCTTCTCCAGCAGAGCATCTGGTGGATTTGAACCGTGCACCTCTGGGATTGCAGTACACCTTCTTGCCACTAGGCCACCAGAGCTCGCCTATTGAGTCGATTCTAACTCACAGCAATCCTCCAGGACAGAGTAGACCCCCCGCCCCTTGAGTGCTCCTTTCAGACAATTACAGACAAACACTGTCGCAGTCTTCTGGGGAACAGCTGGTGCATTCTGACCACTAACCATCTACTTAGCCTGTTTCATTGGGGATCCTGAAGCAGACCACAGTGTCCAATAAATATGTGAAAAATGCTGTACTAACAACTGAAACATGTAAATGAAATCAGCCTAGAAAGACCTTGGTTTTCTTTCTCTCACTCTTTTCCTGTTAAGTTAGCAGAGTTGAACTATTGTCCTAACACATCATGCTGGCGAGGTTTGGTGTTCTTTCTATTACATTTTCATTATTGTTGTTCTTAGGTGTCATCATCCACTACGACTCAAAAGGGCCCTATGAACTATGAACAACAGATCTGAACCTAGTTCTGGCCAACTATCCTGGCCAACCTCCTGGTCTCTGTCGTGCTCAAGCCTATGGTGGCAATCACTGTGTCAATCCATCTCACTGAGGGCTCTTCCTTTCTTTTGCTGAACCTCTACCTTTCCCAGCATGATGGTTTTTTCCAGGTACTGGCCCCTTCTGACAACATGCCTAAATATGTGAAGTGAAGTTTTGCTTCCTTGCCTCTAAGAAGAACCTTGGCTGCACTTCCTCCAGGACAGACTTGCTTGTTCTTTTAGCAGTCCATGGGATATTGAGTACTTTTCACCAACAATATATGCTGTTACTATATTAATAGCAAATCCCATAAGATGTAAGTCAGTACTATGCTTTCAATATGTTGTTGTTAAGTACTGTAGAGTCTCAGATTACCCATAGCAACCCTGCGAACAAAAATCTTGAATGCAAAACTTTCACCTTTCTCCAAATTCATAGTTTCCAGAGGCAAGCTTTTTTGGAAGTGGATGCCACTCCTACTTCCAAGCTTGTTTTACTCAGGAGATCCACAAAAACTAGGCCCCAAACCAGTGGCCAAAAGCCTTTTTAAATAGGAGGCCAAATTCAATCAGTTCCCACCTTGCTGCGAGCAAGAACCATACCCTTGTCTCAACTGCAAACCACAAAGCACACCTCACAGAATCCAGCTGTTCCACTGATCTTCCCAACCTAGAAATAGCCCCAGACTGGTGGCCAAAGGCCTTTTTAAAGATGAGGCCAAATCCAATCAGCCACACCTAGTCTCAACCGTAAACTAGAATACACAGTATAAACACTCATAATTAGAAATATGTCTACCTCTGTGAGACTCTCTAACATTAATTATAATGATTAGAAATCTGTAAACAGAATCTTTGGTGACTAAGTGTTAAGGAGTTGCACTGCCAACTCAAAGTCATGTGGTTTGAATCCACCACCTGCTGCATGAGAAAAAGATGGGCAATCTAGTCTTGTATGTTTTACTGTCTATGAAAACCCACTGGAGGGTCAGCTATGAGTTGGTCCCACTTGATAATACATTTTGACAACAGGAACTCGTAAGCTTAAAAAACCCCAAAAATATTATTTAGAAAGTTTCTGAACTTAAACATGGAAGCATGTCAAATATGTAAAGGACATAAGTTACCTTTAAATTAACTTTGACCCAGTATGCTGTGACACAGAACACACAAATCCAAACCAGCTCCCTAATCTCTAACCTTGAATAAAAGATGTAGCACTTGCTTACTGTCTAGTCCTGCAGAAGACATAACATACTAACCATTGACTTCACATTAGCCCTTATTATGTATGTGTAGCCAAATTCACATCATTCACTCTTACTGCTTGCCATCAAGTAGGAACTGACTCCTAACTGTCCCTAAAGTGGGTTTTCAGAGGCTGTAAATCACATAGGAGGAGACTGTCCATCTTTTTCCCTTGGAGCAAGTGGTTGATTCAAACCACCTGCCTTTGGTTGGCAGTGCAACTTCCTATAGAGTAGACCACCAGAGCTCCCACACGTTCACATATAAATCATATATTTCTGCTCATAAGATTTAGATTCTGTCTTCATAGCAGACTGTGGACTCTATCTATAAGAGACCTCTACTGAGTTCAAACTGTAGGTAAGCCTTCTGAGACCTTTAGTTAAAGACTTGAACTCTAGTCATTGGATTATCAGTGCAATCATAATCATTCATCTTGATTCTCCAGTTCTAAATGGATGCTGAGATCTTACCTACATGCCTTGCTATAACTATCTTGTAATGAACTAAAGTTTGTGCTTGTCAAAACTGAGTTTTCTCCACCAGTCCTTTAAGATTTCTAATATCTTACAAAACATTTGAGGAAATTCAGTCTCCTCTCTTGGGAAAAGTTTATTTGGTGTAAAGAGAGCCTAGGCCATGTGGGAATGGTCATGCCTGGCCTTTACAGACTTACAAAAGGGAACTGTCCCCATCAACAGCATCAATAACACAAAACCAATTCCAATGAGGTCTCCCATGGGGGACATGTTCACCAACCTTCCATACCTCTTTCTACTCATCTCAACACCAATATTACTACTATACTGGGTCCAAAATCTGATTAAGTAGCTCACAGACCGCACAGAGCCATGTTGGGGAAGTAAAAATACTTTATAATTCATGTAAATAGCAAAATACACTCAAGACAGCTTCCAAAATGTGCTCACAGGCACCTCAGCCTTGAGCCTTGTGGCTTTAGGTCAGTGTTACAAAATTCTCAGTCCTGAAAATCATGGTCCTTTTCCCCCAGTTGTCTGATAAACTTGGGCAAAGGCTCTTGGGTCTTCCTCTCCAGTGCTGTCCTTCCACCCTTACGAGCATGATGTCCTTTTCCAAAGACTGGTCTCTCCTGGCCACATGCCCAAAGTATGTGAGACAGAGCTTCAAAATCCTTGCCTCCAAGGAGAAACTTGGTTTCACCCTCTCTAAGAAGACTTACTTGTTTTCTTGGTGGTCCATGGTATGTTCAAGACTCTTCTCTAGCACCCCAATTTGAAGGCATTGATTCTTCTGTCATCCTTAGTCATGTGCAGCTCTCTGCTGCATAGCAAGTAATTGTGAAGACCATGGACTGGATTAGGCACACTTCAGTCTGTAGATTGATGTAGTTGCTTTTCAGCACTCTGAAAGAGGTCCCTGACAACAGATTTTCCCAATGCAATTCATCTTTTGATTTTCTGTGTGCTGGTGCTAAGAGTGTTGATTGTGGAGCTGAGCAAGCTGTAATTATTAACAGCCTCAATCTTTTCTCCATCTATCATGTTCCTGCCATGTGGTGCCCAGTGGTGAGAATCTTTGTCTACTTTATGTTGAGTTTCAATCCAGGTCAGGTCCCTGACCTGCAGCAAATACTTCAGGTCCTCTTCAGCGTCAGCAAGCAAGGTTGTCTCATTTGCATAATGTAGGCTGTTGATGAGTCTTCCTCCAATCCTGATGCCACATTCCTCCTTATAAAGCCCTACTTCCTGAATGATCTGTTCTGCATTTAGGTTGAAAAGTTATGGAGGCAGGATACATCCCTGAAACACTCCTTTCGGATTTAGTGGTCTCAAAGTCCCATCTCACATCAGGTCTCTGGTTCAGCTATGGCTGTAGGTGCCCCTATAGCAAGAATTTCTGGGCCAGAAGGATATGTTACATTCTCTTGCTGTTATTTCTTTACTGGCAGGGGAAGGTCTAATTCTTCTGGTGTTGGATTACTCAATTTAATGGCAAGACTGGCTAAACCCCTTGTGGCTTGATAGATAGCAAGTCCCCTTGTGAATTGGCTAATATATCCCTTTCACATATTCCCACACATCTACATGGCAAAGTCAAACAATGGCTAGTTAAGTCAGATTGAAAGATAAACTCCACAGACCACCTTCTGTATTTTCTAAGCCATTAGCATTCATATATGAAAAAATTAACTTTTCCTTTCCAATGTGCAACAGCTATATTCATGAAAGTGTGATAGTTAGCAACTTCATGCCTCATGCTTTAATCTCTCCCATTTTAGATAGCCAATTTCTGATTTGCCCATTTCTGTCAAACCAGTACTCTGAGGAAACAAGCATCTTCCATCCTCTGAAGAATCTTCTGTTCCAGTTAGAACTTTTATCATCTGCATCCATAAGCAAAATCTAGCCAAGAGCAAACCATTACATTGCAGCAATCAACACTAGCTCACAGCATGGAACATCTTGGGTTCTAGTCAATTCATCTCAAGCTATCCAAGGCTAGATCCAAATGGGCATCAGCTGCAAACTAGGAGACCACACTTCTTCCTGTGTTCCAGATTGATTGGTCCCTTCACTCAAGTCTTAGCCGCTACATAGGGCCAAGTCAACAAGATGGAAGTACTCATGATTCATGCTTCTCAACTCTAGAAATCCTTTTACATTTAACCATGTATCTCAAAGCCAGAAACCCTTTTGCATTTATCAGTGTATCTGTGCATGCTAAGTCATCAGTGCTGATGGAACATGTTCAAACTCAGCCCATTTCTTCATTGCAGCATGCATCTTAATTCCATTCCAGTGGATACAGGTGGTCACTGTGAGTGAGCATACTTGCCAGCTCCCTTCAACTTCAAGTCCTGGAAAGGGGCTCTATAGGTACTGAACTTAACCCTGCCTCAGAAGCCAAATGGCTTGTTCTAGTTTTAAAAGGTCAGAGTCTCTTTTTTTTCCTTTCTCTTTTTCTTCCAAATGTACATACTGTTTTGCTGTTTTTGGAGAACAATCTGATAGTATCAATTAAAATGTTAACAGTCATTAACCCATCTAGTAGCAATCTAACTTATAGCTTTACTAGTTTGAAGGTATGAGAATGCATGTCCTGGATTTCCTGTTACAGTATTACATTGGTTATCATTTTAAAAACCTAGAAACAAAGGCCAAATGTTCATTGGGAAATAGTTCCAAAGAAATTAATTGTGGTATAGCCAAAGAAAGCAAACAATACTCTTTTGGAGAGGGAGGAGCAATCTCCTCCTGTACCAGTCAGATCTGATTTGATGGTACACACAAAAAAATAATTTTAAAAAGTTTAAAGAAAAAGAATGCAAAAAAAAGACAGTAAGGTAGTCATATATGGAATGCTCTGGAGGGTTGAGTGCAGAACAGTTGAGCATTATTCTTTATTCTACTTTTTAAAAATGAAAGTAATTGTTCATCTATGTATAGGGAAAAGTCTGGAAAAATCATTGCTAAACTTACCATGATGAGGGTTGAAGGTGGGTATAAGAAAAAATTATGTTCCAAGTTTTACATTACTGAATACAACATTTTTATAAAAAGCATGTATTACTATAATAATGTGGGAAATGTATGAGATTTTTACTGAACTTGAACAATAAAATTGCTATTTAGGACACATAATTAGCTGACCATCTTGGCCCCTGGATACTGGCAGAGGTCACCATGGCGGGTCTCGCCTTCCCCAGTCCCACCACTTCTGGTTTCTGTTCTCAGGACAGCCCCCAGCCTCTCACCTGCGCTTCTGCTCACAGAAGCCCATCTTCTCCTGTAGCATAGCCATGCGAAGCTTGGCATCCTGGTCCTGTGGGCTCAACATCAGTGCCTGCTGATAGTCCGCTTCAGCAAAGGCCAGATGTCCCAGCTGGAAGAAGCAATCTGGGGGCCAGCAACTAAGTGGGCTTCCAACTCCCAGTGCCCAGGAACCCCAAGGCCATTCCCAGGGAGGGTGGTGCAGGATCCTAGCAACTGGTGATGACAGGCTTCGAGAGAAACTTTATGTGCATCTGGGCACCTTCTCCCAGCAGGCCAATTCTGTGCATTTTGAGACAACTATGGACAGTTTGTCTATGGATCTTTCCCAGAAATGTGTCCCTAAGATATGTGCCTATTAAATGTTTTCCCTTTATTCTTCCCTTCCTCCTCTTTCTTTTGTACCTTCCAGCTTTAGACAAGACCAAATCAGGTGCTGGAGCATAGCTGAGAGCCCAACCCCAAACCCATGGATCTTAACATTTACTCAGAGAGGGAAATACTAAAGCAGTAATCACCCCACATCTCTAGAGTTACATCTACAGTAAGGAAAATGACAGGGAGGATGCTTTAGACCAGAGTGGGAGGTTGGAAGGAGGGAGCCCCAGAAATGCAACTTTGTGCTGGAAGCAAGGTAGGAGTAAACTGGGGGTATATGTATGTAGAAGGAGGGGGAGGAGTCTTGGACAGACGTGACAGTGTGAGTGTGTGTGAGAGAGTGTGTGTATGAGTGTGTGTGTGAAGGGCACACATGAGAGGGCAGTGTGATTCAGAGCAGAGGAAAAGGCAGAGGGAAATAGATGAAGTATTGAAGGGAGAAAATTGCTGTTGTTGTATAACATTGGAACCAACTCATAGCTGACCCTCCAGTGGCAGTAAATTGCACGAGAAGAGACTGCCCATCTTTTTCCCCATGGAGCAGCTAGTGGATTTGAACCATATTCCTTTGGGTTGGCAGTCCAACTCCTTATACTGAACCAGTGAAACGCCTTTAGGGAGAAGGAGGAGGATGGAATCCCTGAGAGGCTCAGCCTTAACCAAGGCATGGAGGATGGAATCACCTGGATCTTGCAGCCTCATGAATTGGAAGATGAATTAGACCAGGGGGCTGTATAGCTAGCCTGGGTCTACCTAAGGGGATGCCAGTCCTTCAGCCCAGCCCCTACTCACCACCGCGGTTGACGTAGAGGCTTTTCTCCTGCTGCTCATCCCTGAGGGCCTTGTTCAGCAACAGTGCAGCCTCTTGGTAGGCACCCTGCATGTAGCAGTGCACAGCAAAGTCGTTGTAGGCTAGCACTAGTTGGCGCTGCACCTGCTGCACCATGTTCTCCTGGCTTGCAGGTAACATGTCCAGCGCTTTCAGGAAGTCCTCCACTGCTCCATCATACTCGTGGACCCGTCGGTACATGGTTCCTCTGTGGGTGAGGACATGGTGGGTGGAGAGAGAGCACACCACTCGTCAGCTAAGTGGCCGCACGAGCCACTGCCTGCCTGGGCGTAGTTTCTTCTTCTGATTCATAGAGGTCTTGAGGGTACCTGTCTCACGTACTAAGTTTGGCCTGTGAACCTGGCCAAGGCTTTGTGCTCAGATGACCAGCTTTGACTGGTAATGTTATGTTTCTGCCTCTTTCTTTGTGAGAGCATTGAATGTGCTTGCTTTCATGCTAAGGCCTTTATGTGAGAGAAGGATGAACAATCTCCTCCAGTGGGATTTACAGCCTCTGAATCCCCACTGAGGCATCAGCTAATGGGTTGGTTCTGACTTAATGGCACACAACAATAAGGCTTTTATATACATGGGAAAACATTTTTATCCCACTGCTTAATTTAAAAACTCCTCAGTCTCAAACAGATTCAATTGCTGCCTGGGTCCCTGTGGGAAGCAGGGCAGGATTGTTTATCAGAGGCCAGTTGGGGAAACTCCTAAGGGCAGGTGGGGACTCTCCTAAGACCACAGAGTAAGTCTGTAGCCGAACAGGGTCTAGAACCCAAGACCAGTCCCTCCCTATCCAGTACCGGAAGAGGAAGAAGCTGGCATCCAGAGGGTTGTTCTCGATGGCAGAGTTGATGCACTGCAGTGCACTCTGCATATTGCCTTGCACAGCAAATATCTTGGCATCTTGGTAAGCCTCCTGAGCCTGGTTCACCATTGTCCCAAGCAGTGCCTTGGCTTGTGGGTGCGTGGGCTCCAGTCGCAAGGCTTTGTGTAGGTCCTGGTAGCAGAGGCTAGGCTGTGGGGGTTTCAGGGGGGCAGGCCTAATGGGTGATGGAAATAGGTCTGGATCTAGGCCTGCAGGACCCTCTGTCCTGGCAGGCCACCATCACACCACCCTTCCTTAGTGCGCCTGCACCTTTCCCATTATCTTGAAGGAGGCAGGAAGTAACATGGGAAAATCCCACCCCCATCTGCTGCCCCCTCCCAAGATGCGACCTCAGGTGAGCCAAGTCGCTTGGTAGTTTCTGCCACAGGATAGAGTGACAGAAGCCACCTCCTCAGGGGACTCTGAGGCTTGCACAAGGTGGGAGAGTGCATGGCATTCTGACTGGATGTCTGTATCCTCACCCCTCAGCTTCACCCTGACCATTAAATACAAGATAACTCTGACCAAGAACAGACCCAGAAAACATCCATAGGTTAACAGCCCCTGCTGCACAGGTCAGTTAGTCAAATAGTTTTAAGAAGTCTATGTCTTGGACCACCACCTGGCCAACTGACTGGAAGAGATCTATATTCGTTCCCATTCCAAAGAAAGGTGATCTGACAGAGTGTGGAAATTATTGAACAGTATCATTAATATCACATGCAAGCAAGATTCTACTGAAGATTATCCAAAAACGACTGGAACAGCACATCAGCAGAGAACTGCCAGAAGTGCAGGCTGGGTTTAGAAGGGGTCGTGGTACTAGGGATATTGTAACTAATGTTATATGGATCTAGGCTGAAAGCAAGGAGTACCAGAGAAATGTCTATGTTTCACTGACTATACAAAGGTGTTTGACTGTGTGGACCACAAAAACCTGTGGCTAACTCTGAGAAGAATAGGTATCCCAGAACACTAGATTGTGTTTATGTGAAACCTATACTTGGGCGAGGAGGCAGTTGTCAGAACTGAGCAGGGGAACTGTATGGTTCAAAATTGGGAAGGGTCTATGGCAGCGATGTGGCCTATCTCCATACCTTTTCAATCTGTGTGCAGAACAGATCATCCAGGAGTCTGGGCTCTATGCGGAGAACATGGCATCAGGATTTGAGGAAGACTCATTAACAATCTGCGCTATGCAGATGACGCAACCCTGCTGGCTGAAACTGAGGAGGACTTGAATCTCTTGCTGCACAAGGTCAAGGACTGCAGCCTTCAATATGGATTGAAGCTCAATAACAAGAAAACAAAGGTTCTCACCACTGGGCTGATTGGCAGCATCGTGATGGATGGTGAAGAGATTGAGACTGTAAACAGTTTTAGTTTGCTTGCCTCCACAACCAACACTTTTGGCACCAGAAGCCAGGAAATTAAAAGACGTATTGTGTTGGGAAAGTTTGCTGTTAGAGACCTCTCCAAAGTTCTGAAGAGCAATGATGTCAATCTGGAGAATAAGGTGTACCTGATACAGGCCATGGTTTTTGTAATCACTTGCACCAGAGAGTTGGACAATGACTAGAGAGGACAGAAGGAGAATTGATACCTTTGAGCTGTGCTGTTGGAGAAGAGTGTTGAATATACCATATTCAATGCTAAGAGAACAAACAGGTTTATCCTGGGGAGGTTAAACCAGGCTGCTCCGTGGAGGCAAGGATTTTGAAACTTCATGTGACATGCTTTGGATATGTTGCAAGGTGGGACCAGTCCTTGGAGAGGGTTGTCATGCTTGGGAGTATGGAGGGACAGCACAAGAGAGGAAGACTGTCAATGAGATGGATTGATTCAGTGACTGGGGTAATGGGAGTAGGTGTGTCAGAGACAATAAGACTGACACAGGATAGAGCAGGATGTAGGGCTATTGTACATTAAGTTGCAGGCATAAAAAAACTCCAACAACATGTCTTGTAGGGTAATTGGATGGAAGACAAGCAGAACAAGAATGTGGAAACTAGACGTGAGAGGAAATCAGAAGGCTAAGCTCAGGAGTGGGGCTTTGGGGTGGGCTGACTTGGCACTGTGAACTGTGTGAGCTTAGGCAAAGCACTCCATCCCTCTGGCCTATTTCCTTATCTTTGAAGAAAGCAATGCTCACATGAACCCAAAGGAGAGATTACCTTGAGCCTGCAAGATAAACATAGTAAGGTACTTAGGAAGCTGAGGGACAGCTAAAGTCACAATTAAAAAATCTTTACCAAAGGGTAAAGATCAGAAGGCAGGAAGGAGTAGAATAGGCTGAAAGGATTAATGAAAATGAGAATTAGGGGAGAAATCACAATTTAAATGACAGGGAAGCCCTACTGGACAGAGGAGCCTTAGAGTATCTGAGGCTGTAAACTTTACAGAAGCAGGAAGCTTTCTCCTGCAGATATGTTCAAACTACTAGCTTTTTTAGATAAACAATCCTTGTTCTTGAAGTCAACCGTAATTATCAGTAATTGCTAGTCTCTCTCATACTTTGAAGGAGACTCCCTTTGAGTCATTTGTGGGACACAGAGGCCAGTCCCCTAGCATTAGTACCTGGGTGGACCTCATCCCTTTTGGCCACTCCTTAAGGGCAGGAGTCTCATCCCTCTGGAATTATAAGGTCACATTTCCAATCACCGGCCAGTTGCTCCGCCTAGTGAGCTGAAGCAAATTCTACCATTTCAGCCCACACCTGTTCTCCTTTCAGAGTCTCCCCGCTCACCCAGGGCAAGCCAGAAAGTTGAGTGTTGGTATCAGGTGTCCCTGGCTGCCACCCTCTTGCTCACATCCACACCAGCCATCTCTGGTCCTGACTTCTAAAGAGCATTGGACCTTGACCTCTTATTGTCATGCTCACAGCCATCCCCCAGCCCTCCTTTTCCAACCCTTTTTTCTCCTGCTGGTCTTCCCCACTGTCCAGACTCCTAGCCTCTTATCTTACCCTGTCCAACCCACACTCTCTATGACAGCCGATGTGAGGAGCACCCTTTCAAGGCTCCTGCTGATCCTGGGAAGAATTTGCCATGCCCTCTGGTTCATGAGACCCAAGAGAAGTCCAATATCTCACATGAGCCAATGTCCTCTCAGATCTGCGGTCTCTGCCTCCTCCTTCCTGCTGTGTCCTCCCTGTCCCCTCCTCTGTGGTCTCAAGTCTCCCTGGCCCTCAAGTCCTTTCCCATATTCTGTCCCTAAGAGAAATTCAGGCCTGGACAGTGGAGGACATTTAGGAAGTGTTCCTTGGGGTGGGGCAAATAAGGAAAGGAGGCAGAGGGGATGAAGGAAAGAAGGAAATGAGGGTGGAGGAAGAGATGGAGATGAAGGGAAGGAGAGAAGGGTGGAGTGAGGAGTGAGGAGAGGAGGATGGTTACTTCATCTAATGGTTCCCTGGTCTGTCCCACACAGTGATCACTATGATGACACAGCTGTGGTTCAATCTGTCTCTGTGTCATTGTTATCTCAGGAAACCTCCTCGGGCTGGGAGCTCTATGAGGACAAGGATGCATTTGTGTCTTTATTTTGTGGGTTCTGCAGGGCCCAGCAAAGGCCTGATGCAGAACTAGGGCTGAGTAAAGTTGGAGCAACTACCTGACTGGACACCAAATGGTCAGGACTGATAAGGCATCTCTGCCCAGCAGGGGTAGTGCCCCATCTCACTGTGGGTGTGCACACTCTGGACTGGTGGGTGGCCTTACAGCTTCCTGTAACTACTGGGTGCTTTGGGCTCCCAGCCTAGGGAGAAGGACCCGCCCAGCCTGCCCTCTCTATGCTACCTTGTGGAAGAAGTTGTAGAGCCTGGCCCTGAGGATGTAGATGTCGGCTTTGGCCGTGCCATGCTTCAGCAGCTTAGTGACGCATGTGAGGCAGTCTTGGTGCCGTCTGAGGGCCAGGAGACAGGCCATGCTGAGAATGAAGGGAGGAGTGTGCTTACTGGGCCCTTGGGGAGAGGAACAGGAGGGTTTGTTGAGAAAAAGAGGGCTGGCGGGCCATGGCCAAGCACTCACCATTGGTAGTGGAAGCAGGATTTCTGGGGCTGGAGCTCAGAGGCTTGTGAGAAGACATCCAGGGCATCCTGGTAGGCACACTGCTCGAAAAGGCACTGGCCCTGGGGAACACAGGAGGCAATCACTTCTGCCAGCCACCCTAGCACAATGACAGCTCCCAGCTGAGGGTCAACATGATGGAGGAAGGGGGAAGGGACAAGAGAGAGGAGTGGAGCCTTTTAGGATTGGGGAAAGATGTAAAGATGGAGAGATAGCAAGAGACAAAAAGTCATTCACAGATGACAGAAGACAAGACAGCAACACAGAGACTTAGATTCTAGCTTAGGCTAACTCATTGGTCAGAGTTCTATCTCCATTAAAGATGAAGAATATGAGGCTCAGAGAGGTCAAGGGACTTCTTTACTGTCACAAAGGAAGTAGCAGCACAGGACCATGGGGGTGGGGGCCCCTCAGACTTTTTTTTTTAAATAATTGGATGGCTGATAGTTTTTTTAAAAGACATCAAAGTTGTCAAGATGGGAAAAATAGCAAGCTTTTTTTGAGGGGGTTGTGGTTTAAGATTTTTATTTTCAATTGTTAGTTAGGAGCATTGTAAACTCTTTTAGTGCTTACAGCCTCTAGATCCTAGATCTGTGCTACCCAATATGATAGGCACCAGCATCACATGGCTCTGTGAGTGTACATCTAATTTAGTCAAAACTTAACATAGTTGAAAATGCAGGCCCTCGGGCACTCTCACCATGTTTCAAAGCTCACGAGTTCTGTGGAACTAGTGGCTATCTTAAAGAATTCTAGTGGTTCAATGTTAAGTGCTGCTGAGAGGTCAGAGTTCAAACCCACCAGGTTGGGAGAAAAGCCCTGAATCATTGGAGAAGCTCAATATCAGGAGTGAAAATTAGGCCAGGTGCTAACTGTGGAACAGGTCATCAACTACTTATATACATGTTCAAACTAAAGCTAAAGAAAGAGAAATCAAATTCATAGGAACCAAAATTTGACCTTGAGTCTATTCCCCTTGAATTTCAAAACCATCTCAGGAACAGGTTTGAGGCCTTGAAAACTTATGAATGAAGACTAGATGAACTACGGGAGGATATCAAGAATATCATCCACGAAGAATGCAAAAGGTCATTAAAAAGACAGAGAAGGAAGAAAAGACTGACATGGATGTCAGAAGAGACTCTAATTGCACTAGAGCACTGAGAAGCCAAAGGAAAAGGAAGAAAGGAGGAAGGAGCTGAACAGAAGATTTCAAAGGGCAGCTCTGGAAGACAAAGCAAAGTATATTATAATGAAATGTGCAAAGAGCTGGAGTCCAAAAATCAAAAGAGCTAAACTTGCTGAGCATTTCTTAAGTCAAAGGACCTAAAGAACAAATTCAAGCCTCGAGTTGCTTTGGCTGCTTCCCAGAGGTTTTGGCAAGTGGTGTTTTCATTGTCATTAGTTTCAAGAAACTTTTTAATTTCATTTTTTATTTCTTCTACTACCCAG